ACATACAGCTGAGGCAGCCAGGAATGGGGAATACTAACCTCAGCTCTGCAAAGTGCTTTGCTAGGTCTCAATGTACTGAGCTTTAGAACTACTAGTGCACTGATTTATATGCTGCCACTGGCTACTTATGCAGTGCTCAGCCTTTTGGGATGGCTAGTGGAAAACAGAAGCCATTCTATCCAACAGACTAAGAGACAGGAACACCTCTGCCTTCTCAGAAAAACAGGTCTAGGGACTCATATAACAAGTTCCTCAGACCAGCTTAGTGATGACCTATAAATATAAGCAGCAGGCAGAAGACAGTGTTTCAGTCCCAGTTTTTACCAGCTGTTCTCACAAGAAGCTTCTTTTCTATACCCTGTTTTTCAAAACCTGTGTTGCACATTCATGTATCACTGTGGGATGTCCTTCAAGTCAGCATGTTAAGCAGACTCACCTTTAGCTTCAGGAGCTCTGGTATGGATGAATGTTTCTCAGAGGTAAGATTTTGCATAGAAGGGTTCTTTGTTGGATGAGTTTGCTTCAAAAGCAGAAGGATCTTTTCTGCACGATGAAGAAAATAAAAGTTGCATGAGACAAAGAAAATCACCAGAATTGCAGAAACTTCACAGGTGGAAATACTGGCACTTTTATTCTGAGGCCTACTGAGCATTGCTGGTTTCCACCAACTTCACACAGCTCAGGACCCCCAAAATCATAGACCAAGACTTAGGGTGTAACCTGGATGTATTGGGCTTGTGTGGTGAGGTTTTAGTAGCAGGGGGGGCTACAGGGGTGGCTTCTGTGAGAAGTTTCCCCTGTATCTGACAGAACCAATGCCAGCCAGCTCCAAGATGGAGCCACTGTTGGCCAAGGCCCAGACAATCAGCCATGGTGGCAGGACCTTCATGATAATGTATTTAAGGAGGAGGAAATGCTGCTGTGCAACAGCAACTGGAGTGAGAGAGGAGTGAGAATGTGTGAGATAAATAACCCTGCAGACACCAAGGTTAGTGAAGAAGGGGGAAGAGGTGCTCCAGACACCTTCAGCCTGTGGTGAAGACCATGGTGAGGAAGGCTGTCCCCCTGCAGCCACACAGATATGGACCTCCAGCCCTTGGAGGACCCCACACCGGAACAGGTGGGTTCCTTTGGAGGCTGTAGCCTCAAGGGAAGCCTGCAGTGGAACAGCCTTCTGGTAGGACCTGTGGACCCATGGAGAGAGGAGCCCATGCTGGAGCTGGTTTGCTGGCAGGTCTTGTGATCCCATGAGGGCCCCACTCTGTTCCTAAAGGGAACCACAATGGAACAGTTTGTGAAGAACTGCAGCCCATAGGAAGGACTCATGTTGGAGAAGCCTGTGAAGGACTGTCTCTCATGGGAGGAATCTGATGCTGGAGCAGGGGAAGAGTGTGAGGAATCCTCTCTCTGAGGAGGAAGGAGCAGCAGACACAATGTGTGAACTGACCAGAACTCCCATTCCCCATACCCCTGCACTAGAAGGGATAAGAAGTAAAGTTAAGCCCAGGAAGAAGGGAGAGGTGAGGGAAAGGTGTTTTTAATGTATGTTTTTATTTATCATTACCCTACTTTGATTTGATTGGTAATAAGTTAATTTTCCCCAAGTCAAGGCCGTTTTCCCCATGATGGCAATTGGTGCATTTCCTGTCCTTATTTTGACCCACAAGCCCTTTGTTATATTTCCTCTACCCCCTTCATCTGAAGCAGGGAGTGACAGAGTGGCTTTGGTGGGCACCCCGCGTCCAGCCATGGTCAAGCCACCACACTGGATTTTAATGAATCCAGTCCAAGTAGGTGCTTTGCTCCTAAAGAAATCCACCCACCCCTGGAGACAGGACTCCTGAGAGTGCCCTTCAGAGTACATGTAAGATCTCTATTCTGTGAGCAGATAAACCTCTCAGGTTTTAAAAGAAGCTCATATGATGAATATCTGTGTGAATCAACATGTTAACTCAAAAAATAACTGCTGTCATCATACAAGCACATAAAGCTGTGAAGGCAATCTGGATTTCTACCTGTAAGATTTCTTTATCTAGTCAAGTGTCAACAACCTGTCATCACATCCAGAAGGGTACTTGTGCCTTTTGGATAGAGGTGGATGGAAAACTTATACCCACAATGTGGCATAACTCAAACAAAAAGGAGTCTGGCTTCCCAAAATCTCTCAGCTCCAGTTAATTGCCAGCAGATGAAAACACAGCACCATTCCTTCCCACCATTACAGAAAGCACTTTGAAAAGACAGGCACAACATATTCCAGATGAGTTCCCACACTATTAATGAAACCATGATTACCTGTCAGTGTGCTGTCTTCAGCTTCAGTGGCATTTATTAAACACATCAGGTAAGGGTTATAGCTGTTATTCACTGTCACCTGTAAGATGGTGTTTTCAAATTCTAAAAACAGAAATCTGAAAATAAGATAGGATTTTAAATCAGCTTCTCTTTCAGAAACAATGTACATTAGCAAGCAACCTGACAACTGTGTAGGTGTTTATTGCACCTACACCTTGGAAGTGTAAATAAGAATTCTAGATGAAGCCCTGTGTCTCCCATCTCATCTCCTAAGTGGGGAGCCTCCCATTTTATTTCATCAGTTCTTTTTGCTGTTATCTCCCAATGCTGTCATTCACTCCCAAATCACATATATAAGAAAACACACTTCAAACGTTCATTGTAGATGCAAGATATAGATGGAAAGGCATGCTTAGGGAAGCCTGAGAATCAGAAACAGAGTCATATCACAAAGAAGGCGTTTGAGAAGAGTGGAGACCCTCCTACTGGATTCTGTTTCCACTGTGAACTGATACATGTCAATACAAAACGTTTTTTGAAGTCTCACTTCTAGCTGTATGTTCAGTTCCAGAAGAAATCTCCTCTTCTTCAGTGAAACCCACATTGCACCTACTGTCCTAAATTATGGTGATTTCAAGCTTAAGTTGCTCCACTAGAAGAAAATGACATAGCCCTCATGCAGGAATGAGAAGAATGGTCACTAACCATAAATGTAATTAAAATACCCAAAGAGCAGACTCACCGTGTGATCAAAAGGGTTGGTGACAGAGTCTGGTCACTCTGAGTCCAAGGAAGGGTCTTGTTGTACAGGGTTTCTGCAGTGACAATGAAGTGGTGAGCAACAATATCAAGCACACTGTCAAAACCAGTTTTGTTGGAGAGGAAAGCCAAACTGGAATTTATATTGAACTCATTGAGCAGATCAGATAAGTTCAGCCTCCTGAGAATGTAGTGACTGGCTCCTATGATTTCTAGAGCTGACACATTGTCAACAGAGTTGTTTGTCACTGCTTCCAACAACTTGGCAAAGGCAGCCACTTCAGTCAGGTTCCTTTGGGTGTTTAGCAAACTGTCAACCACATCCCAGATGCTGGAGTAAAAAGTCTGTGTGATGAGGTTGAAGACACCTTGGATTCTCTGCAACAGGTCATTCAGGTGGAGCTCATCCCGTGCCACACTGAAGAGCATGGACAGGTTATTCCAGCCTGCTAAGCTGTCAGAGAAATTCAGTGAGTTCAGTGCTGTTTCATTCAGCACAAAAGGAATGAGCATCTTCAACAGCTGGGGTGGGAGCACAGCAGCCTCATCTTGCACTGGGATGGAGCAGGAAGCATTGCTCTGCAGCAGCCCCTCTGTGAGGCCACTCAGAGCTCTGGCCTTCTCCTCTATCCAAGAGTTCTGCAGCTCAGACACAAGGTTTAATTCAGAAAGGAAACCCAGAGAAAACTGCAGAGACTGGACAATGCATGACAGCTCCTTGGAAAAGCTGTCACTGCCATCCTTGTAGACAGCAGCAAACTCTGGAGACTGCTTCAGGTTTGTTACGGCAAGCTGGAACATGTTGGTGAAGGTGTCATTGTGCATTGTCCCACCCTCCATGCCCATGGAATCAAAGAGGGCTTTGCAGGGGCTTCTGCTGACAGACTCACTTGGAGTGTCATTTTCAAACAGCATCTCAAGTGTGATGTGGAGCAGATCCTGAGCAGAGCAGTTCTGCAGTGTCCTGGAACTGTTGTTGTCAAGGAGAGGACTCAAGGCTAAATGCAAAACCTCCCAAACTTTTGTCTCTAGTGAAGTATTGCCCTGTGAGGAAGACTCATGGAACTCCTTCTGCAGCAGCAAACGTGAGAAATCACAGACAATGTCCATTTTTTCTTCAAATGTTTTGTTTGAGTTTGTGTCATGAAGGACTTGCATTCCTGAAAAAATCCACACGTCAATCATTCTCTGGGTAGAGTTACTATAAGAATCAAATAATTGGTTGATAGTTTCAAGCTCAGTGATACTATAACTTTTCTGCAAACCTTTTAAAATTGAGATACTCCTTTGCATGGCTTGCAAGTATAAGGAGATGTTGGCTCCTCTGAAGTCTTCTTGAGCATATAGCTCTAATATGGAGGATGCAAAGTCTACCAGCTGCTTCAGTTCCTTGCTGAAAGGAAGATCAGAGTCATTTTTCATGGTACCGAACTGATTTTTCAGTATCTCTAGAAGTGACTGGAAAGTGAGTCTGTCTGTACTATTCCAGTTCATGGACTGGAGTACTTCAGCAATCTGCCAGAAAGCACTAAGCTCATTTCCCTGCCTTCCATGAAGAGAACTCTGGAGTTCATGCATGAGCTTAGACAGAGAAGAGACCAGCAGAAAATGATCACTGGTATTCATATTGGTCATGGCAGGAAGAAGCTGCCCAATGGACAAGAGCTGTTCGGCAAGATGTTCAGGAGTCACAGGGCTCAACAGAAGGGCAGAAAATAATGATGACACTTTTTCATTTCTGCTGAGATCATTTTCAATGTCTTCAGGTGAGACTGCATGAAGTGCAAGAATTTTTATAATCTCCCATGCTTTCTCCAAATTAAAATGAGTCCTGTTTAAAATTACCTGATTCCAAATCACTGCAGCCAGACTTAGAACATCTTGATTTTCTTCTCCATAGGGATTAGGGTAGAACAATTGTTCACCACCAGTCTCATCCAGTGGGAGCATTTCTTGAAACATTCTTTCAAATTCCAGCATGCTGTTTGTGGTAGAAGATGAGTTGAAAAAGTTTTTTAAGGACCTATACAAATAATTCAGGTGTGAGGATTTAATTCCTTCACTAGAATTATGAAAGATCTGATGAACTAATGTTTTTCCAGGAGCTAGCCCAAAGTCCAGGAGAATTAGAGCTTTCTTCATCATTTCAAGGAGTTTCACATATTGATCCACCTCTGTTAAGTTCCATGTGGTGGTCAACACCTTGCCAGTGATGTTCCACAGCTGAAAGAAATGTCCCCACTCAGGCTGGCTGGAAGCATTTCTGCCCCCCTGTAGCAGTTCATAGATACTGCTGTTCCTCATGGAAACAGTTGGTAATGGGTGGGAAAACACAGACAGCCTAGGCCAGTCTGTTGAGCTATCAGAGAAATTCAGTGAGTTCAGTGCTGTTTCATTCAGCACAAAAGGAACTAATATCTTCAACAGCTGGGGTGGGAGCACAGCAGCCACATCTTGCACTGGGATGGGGCAAGAAGCATTGCTCTGCAGCAGCCCCTCTGTGAGGCCACTCAGAGCTCTGGCCTTCTCCTCTATCCAAGAGTTCTCCAGCTCAGACACAAGGTTTAATTTGGAAAGGAAACCCAGAGAAAACTGCAGAGACTGGACAATGCATGACAGCTCCTTGGAAAAGCTGTCACTGCCATCCTTGTAGACAGCAGCAAACTCTGGAGACTGCTTCAGGTTTGTTATGGCAAGCTGGAACATGTTGGTGAAGGTGTCATTGTGCATTGTCCCACCCTCCATGCCCATGGAATCAAAGAGGGCTTTGCAGGGGCTTTTGCTGACAGACTCGCTTAGAGTGTCATTTTCAAACAGCATCTCAAGTGTGATGTGGAGCAGATCCTGAGCAGAGCAGTTCTGCAGTGTCCTGGAACTGTTGTTGTCAAGGAGAGGACTTATGGCTAAATGCAAGACCTCCCAAACTTTTGCCTCTAGTGAAGTATTGTCCTGTAATGAAGCCTGGCTGAGCTCCTGCAGCAGCAGCAGTGTTAGGTTATAGACAGGGTTAATTATTTCTTCAATGGAAGCTTCACTGGCACTTGTATAATGAAGGATTTTCATAAAAGCTCTCAACGGTTTTATTGTCAAAATTCAATAAAAGATCTATGGATTTTAATTTTCTGACATTATAATTCAGCTGTAAGTCTTTTAATAAGTCCAAGGTCTTTTGTACAGCTTGAATCACTAGTGAGATATTGGCTGCTTCAGAGTTTTCCCCAAACTCTTTGAACACAGCTGTTATAAATTCTGACAGTTGATCCAATTCTTCGCTAAAGAATCCATCTGAATTATTATTCAGCTTTTTTAGATGGCTGTTTAACACCTCTAAAAGCTGCCCATAGGCTATGATGCCTGTGTTATTCCACTTCATTGACCTCAGTTGTTCCCCAAGGCGCCAATAGGCATTCAGCTCATCCCACCAGGCTTCACCCATCGAGCTTTCTATGTTCCGCATCAGTTCAAACACTGGCATCAGCAGGTACTGGTAACCTATGCTGGAGTCTGTCATGATATAAAACATCTTCTGGAGAGCTAGGAGCTGGTCTGGAAAGCTTCTGTAGGACACAGGCTTAAGCAGATAATCAGAAAACAAAGACTGTATTTCTTGCAATCCATTGAAATGGTCTCTTAAGTCTTCCAGAAATGCTGGCACACTAGTGGAGAGCAACATTTTGAGAGCATCCTTAGTTTGTACTGTACTAAAATTAGAATTATTTAACAGAACTAAATTCCAAACCATTGTGGCTAATTTTAGAGGACTCTCCATTTCTTTCCATTGAGTCATTATATTTAAAAGGGAAGTCTCATTAAAGTCACCCTGTAATTGCAGTGATGTGAAGTTATAGATTTCATCAATTATTTCCTTATTATATGGTTCCTTTAATTCATAATCATGGTGTGGATCCATTCCCAGTTCAAGAATTGCATACAATTTCTGTAATGTTTCCTTCTTCAAATTTCTGAATAGATTTAAGCTTTTTAATTCACTTCTATTCACTTTTTTCTCAAAGCCTTTTAAACGTTGTAGAGACTTTTGTATGGCTTCTAAATCCTCTGAATTAATGGACCTCTTGGAGACTTTTCCACCAATCTCTGGTGACTTTATTTTTCTGGAAGGGGGAAAAAAAGAAAAAAGCATTTTAGTGAATATGAAATCAATGTAAGTGGAAGTGATTTAGAGCAAAGACCATGGATTTGAATTATACTGTTAGTAATATCCCTTTAGCTGATGTCTTACCTCAGAACTTCCTCCAATTCAGAGACTAAAGTTGGGTTGTCTTTCCAGTCAAAGTGATTGCAAATGTATCTGGTCACCAAACTTTTTTCTTTGCCTACAACAAACATGTAAATATCACATTAGTAAAGATCACATTAGCCTGGAAACTGAGAGGAACTGGATGTCCAAGCTGTCAAGGATAGCACACACACATGAAACTGGCTCCTACAACAAACCACAAGGTCCTGCTTAGAAATTTGACTCGCTCTTCTGGGATGTAACTCTTCCTGAACTTCCAAAAGGAAGTCAAGGTGGTGGCTGTCATGGTAGAAATTATTGCCCATCTGAGAAACAGCTCCATGCCCCTGTGATCTGAGTGCCAGCAGAGCTCTCCTCCTTCACATTGACATAAGTCACATCTCCATGTTTTCCCTACTTGCTTCCCATTGATCTGCTTTCTTCTTACCCAACCTTACTTCCCCAGTCTTCATCAAGCAAGTAGAAAATGGATGGCATTGACCATGTAGCATTCATCTGCTATCCCCTTCCCTTGCCCATTCATGTAACCTCATTTAGAGGTGGCTATCACGGGCTTTGCCTCTGCTGTGAGCTGACAGGGGTTTCAAGGAATGGAGAACCTTGATGTACACAGCTTGTTGTGCAGCTCAGCCTCTCTCCTGATAGACCAAGGTGACTTTGACAGAGCCCATAACTAGAGGCAGATTTTGATCCTCACTCCCAGAAAAAAAAAATCAAGGTAAAATATGACTGCTGCCCATCTCCACTGGGTCTGCAAACTCACATTAATTCATTATCTACTGACAAACCCAAGCTTTTTTTTTACTTTTCCATTTGAAACGAGGTATTTTATTCACATTTGTAAAGAACTGAAAGGAGAATTCATTATGCTGAGCCTTGAACAGTGTGCAATCTGTGTGGTTACTTATTAGTCTGCAGTTTGCTGCTTCTCAGCACCACAGGTTTTCTGCAGAGATATGACTGCATGGAGGAGTCCTACCTTGCTCCAAGCAGTTCAGGGAATCTGGAGGATCTGTAACCCCATTCTGAACAGGTTTGAATCTATCATCAGTCACATGCAGTCCAGAGACATTCTGAGCTTCCAGCACAACACTAAAGGGGGGAGAAACCAAATCAACAACAAGGAAAATTGTGATTACAGGTTTATGAGAAGAAATAAAACAAGCATTCAATTAGGAAGTAGCTGAAGTACAGCCTATCATTCTTAAAACATCTGACATACAAGATGCTGCCCCTGCTTTTAATTATTTGATCATGCACAATATCCAAATACAAAGGGTTTTGAGGAGAAAGCCATGCCAGTAAATTAACACAAACATGTGTCTTGCAGTCATTAGATGTACTTATTCCAAGGGTTATGCAAAATCTATAGACCACTGAAATCCTCACAATAAGGCTTAGAAAACACTCAGGTGATATGCCTGTCCAGTGATTCACTATTGAGGGTGAATCTCCTCCTGAAAGGAACCCAGAAGGGAGCAGACAAGGGTCCAGGGAGAACAGGGATCCCAAGGGGACAACATCTGTGGATGGAAGCAGCAAT